CAAGATAACACATTTTTTGTATTCTGTACATTAGGGCACCTCTTTCATGAAGGTCACCAACCATACCCCCTGCCAGATAAAGAGTATCTTCGATTAGTGCTGCTGACAACGACATGCATTTCATAGGAAGAGATGAGGCTGTGGTCCATTGCTTGCTGTCTATGTTCATCACCTCTACGTCATCGAGGGAACCGCGATCTCCGAGACCTCCTGCTACAACTAGGTGCTGTTTAGTAGTGACACAAGCTGCACTGCTACGTGGTGTGGGCATGGGGGGAAAGACCTCAGACCAGTGTTTCTTAACTTTACCCCTGAAGCTGAGGAGGGTGTTGGTTGGATGTGGTTTCCTTCCACCCACACCAGTGAGAAGACCATTAATGACTGCCATGCCAAAGTTCCTGTTTGGGTTCTCTGGCACCTGAGACCACCATTGCCCTTGTTAGTAAGAGTACACCTTATCTCAGATCTGACACTGCTGGTCTGAAGTACACAGTGTTCCCATGCACTACTGCTGCTCCTCTACACATTGCCTCTGGCACATCTTTCCTCTCTGTCCACTGCTTCTTGGCGGTATATATGTTATGCACAAATGTTGTTATGTTGAAAGACAGGATTTATATAAGTGGTGATGTCTGCTACATGTGTAATGATTCGGCTAATTTTTACAGCTCCTGCATCAGCCTATGCTGAGTGTATTTTTAGTCTTGTAGTTTCGCATTTTTATGCACAGTGATGGTACGTGCATGTGACTCACTATTGGTTAAAAAGCCAAACTCCTGTGTATTATAATATTAAAGAACACTCATTGATAATTCTTATTGTGTTTTTATCTCAACAGCTACTTCCATACCGACCTTTGTAATTGGAGTAGAAAAGTTCCGCAATGGCCGGAATAGAATCGTCATTGACATCACTCATTCCCAGTATGGAACTGCTAGTATCTCTATGGACATTCCTAACCTCAATATACCAGTTACCCCTCCCCCTCCACGTATGTATATACATTGTAGAAACTCACTATAGATTGCATAAGAGACTAAAATCAAACGTAAACGGGCAATATTACTGTACCATGTTATATCACACTAAAGGTCTTGCAGCTAGCTTTAATGGCATGGGTGTCTCAGAAAATCTATTGCCACCTAGAATTATACCCTCTAAATTCTTATGGACTTATGGAAACATGTGTCTGTGGCTGAAGCTTTGCCAAATCCTACACACATAAGATCATACCACACAAGTAGCTCTGTCCTATTGCAAATGCAAACATACAACAGCTTCTTCTTAGTATTAACTAGTATCATGTCTGTCCTTTTTTTCTCTCTCTTTGTCTTCTCTCCACAGCTTGCCGGGTGTCATGCAGCTATAGAGGCGTCCCGGGAGCTTTAGAGTTTGTGTGTAGTGTTATTGAAGGAGATGGAAGCATCTCATCAGTTCAGTACTCTCTCAATGGATACTCAACATCTGACCTGCAAGGTAAATGTCATTCACACGGCAACAGTTCAAAACTTGATTGTGTCCCTAAAGTGAGGGAGAGTGCTGGGGCCAGATAGCTATTCAGTGTTTTGAAATGATCTGCTACAGTCTAAAAGTGAAATGTACAAATCTCAAATGTATGGGCATAATGCAGGACAACCTGTGTCATCCCTATATTACCGTACTTAGTGATACGGTCGGGTGCAATGACGGTAATAATAATAGTTCACCTATAATTTTGTTAATACTCCTCGTCACAGTATGGGAAACAGGGATGCATATGAAATGCTAAGAAATGTGAAAAACTATGTATTATAAGCAGGAAACCCTCACAGTAATGATTGAACATAATGATTGAACATAATCACATCATATTTTTGTTCTCCTCTAGCAACATTCCAAATTCCCAACAGTCAATTTGTAAACGGGAACAATGACATCACCCTGACCTTTAACACTGTGTGCAACGGCCAAAACGAGGTCCTTGAGCACAGGTTCTCCCTCTCACTCAACCTCCCACCACCACCCGCGTTCAGAATTACCAATCTCCGGGTCTCTTCTTCCTCGGGACTCAGACAGGGGGATGTTGAAATTAGCTACTCTAGAGCAGCGGACGTTGTGACCTTCACTGTCATTATTCTTGATCAGGCCGCAACTCTTTATGGCTACACTCTTAATGGAGGAACTGAGACACACAGTGGTGAGTAGACTTTTTTTAATGAGTATAATTATTTCAAGTACAAAATTCTTTTCAAAAGTGGTGGGATATAGGGATAGCATAAAGCAAGAAAACAAGGGGTTACGCAGCTCAGGTGCACATGACTACATACAATGATTATAGAGATGGTGTAATGCAATTGTGCTGTTTAACCACACCTTGTTGCTTATTGTGGGTACTCAGTTTTCAAGTACAACCACACAATTACACAGAGCCTACAAAGATATGGATGTTTAAGACATATATACTGTTGAAGCTATAATGAATCAAGGGGTGGGAAAGGTTTTGTGTGCAGATCACCTGACATTGACTCTTGCCACCCCTAACATCTGACGGCACTCTTTACCTACTGCATAACTTTGTCACAACTTAGTTTTGAAACAACCTACAAGGATGTATTGTTACCATGTTTTCATTCTTGACACATCACACTGAACTTTCAACTTCTTTCTATTCCAGTTGGTGCGTCTTTTTCACTGCACAAGAATGTACTCAGTCGAAGGAGCTAACACTCTAGAGCTCACAGTGTACTATGGACTCACTGTGTCACAGGCTGATTTCACCTTCACTTTTGACATTCAGAAATGATGATTGTTAGATGCCCTTTATTCTTTTTTAATTGTGTCATGCTTTTTTCAACTTTTCTTCTTTATCTTTTAGTAATGTTTTATGCGATGTGTTAGTATTGCAACTGTCTGCAGATTTCCTAGTTAAGGCTTATAGATTAGCAAAAAGTATATACATGTACATAGAAAGGTGGTAACCATACCTATATAATAATATAATAATTATATATAATATATTTAACATAAGTAGTAGAGAAAGAAATTAAGCTTAAATTATGTCATCACCATAGTTACACACCAAATTGTGCACATGTAGTTAGTCATTGGCAGCAAAATGGCATCATTCTCTCGTTACAACCTTAAGAGCTCTTTATTGAATGCACCACTCATATACACAGCTACTGTGGTTGAGGAAAAACCATGCTATACACCCCATTACGGGCTAGCTACAGTAGTAGATAGCATGCGGGTGTCGATACATGCCCTTCGTTGTGACTTCTTGTGCTTTCAAGATACACAGAGCAAGTGGATACGGTCGAGGTAAGCCTGTGCTAGTTTGCATATTGGCTTGTTGACCTGCTTTTCACGGCATAACTTTTGAATGCAGTAGTTACATATACGAAAATCGCCTTTTTTGAAATGAAGTCAAGTGTAGCGATGAACCCGTTGGTATCGCTGTTTTGTTGTCTCGCTGCGTGTAGTACTGAGGATGAGAGTATAGAGCTATTCATAGAGTACGCAAGTGATATTTCCTTAGCATATACTCATAGCAAATAAGTGATATTTTCTACAGCAAATAGTTCCTATAGCAAAGGTTAGTGGAGACTGACTCGTATATTTTTGTTATATACGGTTCGCGTGCCAAGCGTGCGACAACCGAAAAAGCGTGGGCGATTAACGTGACGTAGCAAATCCCGCAATCTGTTGGTTTTGCATGAAAATTCAGGTTGGTTCCGCTGCAGTCGTTCCGCTGCAGTCGTTCCGCAGCAGTCTTTCCGCAGCAATCGTTCCGCAAGCATCCGTATACAACCCTCCCCATCCTTTGGAACCTCGCCTCTCCACCACTACCTTCGAACACACAGAACCTCCCCCTCCCAACTCCCTCGATTCAACGCGCACATCGTTCCACAAAGCGCTAAAAAAACTGAAGTGTCAACGTGGGTGCATAATAACGTAGATCCGATTTCCGGTGAGTGCTCTGGCTCGTCTTCGTGTACGGCACTGAGCGACGTCAGGCAAGCATCTGCACACAGGTTCTATAGACCTATGCATGGTGTCTCGATATACCAAGTTTCGTTCCGCGTCTTGCCTACAGAGCCCGCAACATGGGTGCGGTTGCACACACTAGCAGTCTACCCCGCAGTTAGAAAGATCTTGAAAAATTCCTGGGCGTTGGCAGAGGGCTTGGAACTTGGCCGGTTATGGCCGACAGCGTGTATACACTAGATGCGCAGTGCAAAAAGAAGTATGAAGCAGCCAGAGCAAACCTAACATACGTATCTATTCTTGCAAGTTTTTTGCATGCTGCCCTTTCTAGCAAAGGCCATAGCAGCAACGTTGTTATGGGCGGTTGCGCGCTAAGCGCGGTAGCAACGCCTTCTCCCCTCCCAAGCGATAAGGGCGTGGCTAGGTAATTTCCACGGTCGGCAGCGGAAGCGCGTAATCCGCAGTTGAACGACGTACGGTATATATCGCGCTCAATCTCGCCAAATTACCCAGTGTAGCTATAATATAAACGAAATGGCTACCGCAAAACTGACTGATAAGTATTACGACATTCTGCTCCTGGGGCGCACGGGAAAAGGAAAAAGTACAACTGGTAACATACTAGTAGAAGAAGGCGGAGGTCGCCAATTGGAGCATATGAAAGATGATGTTTTTGAAAAAATAGACGGTGATTCCACCACAGAAAAGAGCAAAGTTGCTTTTCCAACGGGTGGCGGACTTGAATATGTTACAAAATCGTGTACGGTTGTTTCGAACGAATTCACAAATATTCGAGTGCTTGATACTCCAGGGTTTGCAGACTCAAAGGAAACGAAAATAACGGGTGTTTTAAAAGGAAACCTGCAACTTTTTAGGTCCATTCTTCGTTCTACTGGAGAAAACAGTTTAGCCTTTCGTCGTGTTCTATATTTTCTGCCCCAACGTGGCCCAATGGAGCGAGCAGAGGGGACTTTGCAAGAGGACTTAAAGCTCATTCATGGTTTTCTCGGGAAATGATGTTTTTAAGAGAATGATTATCGTAGTCACTTATTATAAGAAGGCTCGACAAATTCTGATGAGGAAGACATAGAGAAGACAAAAGAAGCATTCATGTCATGTTTGGAAGCTATCACTGATGATCATGGCGAGGGTATTATTGATAAATGCCCACCTTTGTTACATATACCATACAACGAAAAGAGTCTGATTGCGAAAATTAAAGGAGCTCGTGTGTTGTGCGATTCACCGATGGCGATAAAGATAGTAGATAATAGGTGCATTAAATGTTCAGCTAAGCTAATTTCCTCAACTACTTCCACTCGGAAGATGCATAGTAAGAGTTGTTACTAATGAAGGAGGTACAAACAGTTATGTCGAACAGGGAGAGCAAGTGTCATCCTCAATTCATTCCTCGTTACTCACATATTAATAGATTTGCAGGAGGTGTAGCTCATATGGCTACAGCAGGAGTATTTGTAGCTGCAGGAAAGCATGGCCGGAATAAATATTGGCCAGGTTTTACCAATGATGAGGAAATTTGCAGTTGTTGTGAGCAGTCTCCAGGCAGCGAGGGTTGTCTGAAAATAGGAACATTGTTAAAGCGGCAAGGGGCAAAGGCTATTGAAGTATCACATAGCAAGAATGTTTGAGAGTGAGAAAATGACACAATACTCGTGGAAACGTTTTATGAGTAGCTATAAAGTTCTTTATTATACCTTTTAATTGGCATAATCTGAGCTCTCCTGTAAATACACATGTACATTCTGCGCTGTAGTTAAAATAAAAAGTGTTATATCATGGTCATATTGTAGCCAAATTTCTTTATCCATATTTCAATGTGTTTGAGCCACAAGCTAAGCAGAGCAGAGAGAGCCATGTAATATTAGGAGGAATATACCCATTAGGAGCCAATCACAAAGGTTATCATGGGTAGCCTA